CATAATTTACACAGGAATATCATTATTTTATCAACATTCATAAATATCAACATTTTATCAACACTGGCAAAGGTGTCCACAAGGAGATCTTCCATCATATGCCATCATTGCTGTCTTTAAGTGCCAAGGGTCAGTGGCACTCACAGCGCCCATATGACTACCTGATCCTGCCCTAGCCTCATGCTGTTAGTATGTTTTCCTTCTTAGTGGCAGCCACTGTCAATTCCTCTCACTGAGGTTCTTCCTCTGTTTTGCTGCCTCTCTACCAAGCCTGATGTTTTCCAGGAACGGATCAATTCTGATAAGACATCCAAAGTACAGCATGTTTCCAAGGAATTGTCTGGCCGTAATTCTTCTTCAACAGATTTGTTTGTTATTCTGGGAGCTCATGGTACTTGAGCTACTTTCAGTGCATCAACTGGTCTATGGTCTTCTTTCCTCATTACCCAACCTGCCACGATCTGAGATGATTGAATGCCATGGCTTGGGCCAGGCAAGCCTCATTCTCAAAGTGATGTCCTTGCTCGTCAACATTGAAGGAGGGCTTGTGCAGCAGTTTTGCCCAGTGCACTAAAACTTTGTCCTAAACCTCATATTTTTGAGAGGGAATGGATTTTCACACACAAAAATTATTGAATAAATCACTGGCCCCACTTCTTGTCCAAACTTTAATCATATCCTGCATGGATATGTGCTCCAAAGTTTAATTTAAAAGCACTATAAATATGATACTCAAAATTTCCCTCATTCTCAGTTTAAACACAGTCATTACTACCTTGACATATGTAAGGGAAGTGAGTCATTTATGTAATTTTAAAAAATTGTTAAATAATCTAGTTCTTTTGATGTTATTTACATTTAGATCTAACAATTGAGTATTTTATACATTTTCACTTTTGGAACATTTGTTTACTTGTTTACTCAACAGGAAGTTTCATAACTTTAAAGAGCCCAACTTTAAAACTTAGAAGCTCTGGTTTCAGCTGTGCAAAGTTCTGTATGACTACAGGTTGTAACAACGCTCCCTCTGTCCTGCATGTTTCTTGTCATGGCCTCTTGCAGCCTTCTGGCTCCAACTGTCAAAGAACCTTCATGGTCCAAATTGTATTTGAGCTGTATATTCTGCATAGATTTTTAAAAATTCACCCAATAATTTTGATGATTGCTCAGGGGTGGGCAATCATTCTTTCTTTTATATGTAAGGTCACTATGCTTGCTGAAAATTCAACAACTTAAGTGCAAGTCCTTGTCTCAACTATACAAATAACAAGAATGTCAATTCTTTATATACTTGAGTAGTGGTTGTCTAAATATATTTTTTATTCCATTGGCACTTGATAACCAATTGAATTCAAAATGATTCCAAGAAATAGTACTTATTATTGTTGTTGTTGAAACATTTCTTAAAAAGTGGGATCAGTTATCAGACATCGAAGAACTGAAAATCATATCAGTGGGTCTCTGATATGATTTTCAGTTCTTTGATGTCTTTACTGACACAATCACTGAAGAAAAATGGGTGCATAAGCAAATGTGGTGAAGAAAGCTGATGGTGTCCAGCTATCAAAAGATATAGTGTCTGGGGTCTTAAAGGCTTGAAGATAAACAAGCGGCCATCCAGCTGAGAAGCATCAAAGCCCACATGGAGGAAGCACATTTGCCTGTCTGACCACGAGGTGCAGAAGGGACCAGTTATCAGACATCAAAGAACTGAAAATCAGATCAGTGGGTGCCCACCTTCCTAATACAATCACTGAAGACAAAGGTGTGCATAAGCAAAGGTGGTGAAGAAAGCTGATGGTACCCGGCTATCAAAAGATATAGTGTCTGGGGTCTTAAAGGCTTGAAGATAAACAAGAGACCAACTAGCCCAGAAGCAACAAAGCCCACATGGAAGAAGCACGCCAGAATGTGTGACCACAAGCTGTCGAAGGGATCAGGTATCAAGCATCAAAGAACAAAAAAATCATATCATTGTAAAGGTGGGTGAGTGAAAAGTGGAGACTCAAAGTTCATCAGTAGGCAACTGAACACCCACTTACTGAAGGGCTGTGGGGAGGAGACGAGCCAATCAGGGTGCAGGCTAGCAGCGATGAAACATATAACTTTCCTCTAGTTCTTAAATGCTTCCTCTCCACCACTATCATGATCCCAATTCTACCTTACAAATCTGGCTAGACCAGAGGATGTACCTTGGTACAGACAGTAACTGGAAACACAGGGAATCCGGGATAGATAACTCCTTCGGGACCAGTGGTGGGAGGGGTGCTGCCTGGAGGGTGGAGGGAATGTGGGGTAGAGGGGAGGAACCGATTACAGGAATCTGCATGTGGCCTCCTCCCCAGGGGATGGATGGCGGGGAGGACAGAGACGTTGGATGCTGTGACTTATGACAAAACTGTAATGGTTTATGAGTTGTGGAGGGTTCATGAGGGAGGGGAAAGTGGGGAGGGAGGGGGAAGATGGGCAGCTGATATTAGGGGCTAGAGTGGAGGGTGGGTGTTTTGAGAGTGATGAGGGCAACGGGTGTGCATGTGTGCTTGACACAATGGATGTATGTGTGGATTGTATGAGCCCCGAATAAAATAATTTAAAAAAAAGGTGATCTATGAAAATCTACTCATACCGACTCATTCTGCATCTAGGTTTCTTTGCTTGCTCCTTTATTGTCCACTTCTGTCATCTAGCATTGCTTTCTAAAGCCCTCTGGAAATCCTGTCATCCCAGTACCAATAACGACAAAATGCAACCAAGTGCTTTTCTTCTGTCAAAAAGGAAGAGGGGTGCATTCATGACACCTTTGACTCTTCTACTGTCCCACACCTGCAGCTGTGCTAACAAGCCATTAGAAAGGGGCTCCAGCCACACTCAGTTTTCTGCTGTTCCCGTTTTGGCTTCATACAAAGATAATTCTGTGGAAATGTACATTCACTCTGATTTGGAAATATGAAAATCAGTCCATACTTACTAAAAAATTACAATTGTAATTATATTGATGTTCATATTATCTAAAATAGCTTATTGAATAAAATATTACTTTGATTAAAAGTTTAAAAAGGAAGAGAGGGCTAAATAATCCGTAGAGCCTCTAGCCTCTGTATGCCATAGTTGTTTGTTGTACTTAGTAGAACGTAGTATTTCACCTTCTTCTCAGTTGTCTTGGTATGGTAATGATAGATTGGAAGGGATGTAATAGAAACTATGTGATTACCCACTGCCATCAAGTGGATCCAGACTCATAGAGATCTGTCTACATGGTGAACAATAAATTTTAACTGAAGCATGCAGTCTTCCTTTTCTCTCAATGAGCTAGTGGGTTTGAACCACCAACCTCAGGTTAGCAGCCAAACACTTACCTCACTTAGTATGTGATTAGGACCTATACAATTTCCTTAATTTCTGTGCTGCCTCTCTTTTGTTGTCTTTCTTTGCTTCTTATTCTACTTTTATTTTTTGTATTACAGCTATTATGTTATATAACCTTTTGGCACTTTTGATGTTTTTAATACATAGGAGTCATTGTAAAGGCATACTTAGTAAGCTTAATGCTTAAATTTTATAGAAGAAAATTTTCTTTAGAATCTTAACATAAATCATTAGTTGTGTTTTCTTTTCTCTGCCCTATAAAATAGAGGCAAACCTAATCTTGATTTTTAATGATTACTGTAAATCATACTGCTAACTTAAGGCCATATTTTTTTTTAAGGAAGCATGTCAAAAGGCAAGTTTAATAGACTGAGCAAAAGTAACGCATTAATCTTTTTTCTTAAGAAAAACACGAATTGGAGCTTAGCTGGGAACAGAAGTAAATTGACCACATGATACTTCAAGTTTCCAGCTTTAATCTTTAAAATGGTCAGAATTTGCATCATGATATGAAGTGAGAAATATGTTACTGTGGGACTGTCTTCACAGATGGCCTTAAAATATTGCCTCACATCAAAGCAATATATAGCTCTCAGTATTGCGAAAACTAAATCTTCATTTCCGTCATACATTTCTTTGAGTTTAAGAGCTTAGTTTGATGTAGGCATTATAATGATTCATTTATGGAATCTGTAGTGTGCATGGAGTTGCTCAAGAGCTTCATAACTATGTGCCAGGAAGTATGTGGCAGGTGGTAATATATGATTTCCTGGCCTTTTGTGGGTAGGAAGACATTTTAAAAATTCCCAGGGAGCTTAAGACCTGGTAGTTTGGGGGAAGTTGGTGTGGAAGTAGGCGGCTTTAGATGATAAGTTGGAGTGAGCCCAGGCAGTAAAGTGACCAGAGAGAGCCCTGACCACACCACATGCTGTAGTCTACCCTTTTGAGTGTTCCAGCGTCTAAGAGGGAAGTTGAAGGCGGCAAAGAGGTGTAGTTTTGTCAGATATGGTTCTGAGACTTATTGTTAGAATGTAGTATGCTGCCCACAGCCATGGAATATAATTTATAGCAGATAACAATTCATAATTCTTTGAACAAAGAGATCTCCTTAACATAGCAATGACTAGTGAAACTAGCAACCATGAGTCAATTCTTAATCATAGCAACTCCATATATTTCAGAGTAGAACTCTGTTCCATGGGGTTTTCAGTGACTGACTTATTTGGGGCATGGGGCTGGGCGGTGTGGATTGCCAGGCCTTTCTCCAGAGTCACCACTGGGGAAACGCAAACCTTTCACTATTGCAGATGACTGGCAAACAAAGAATAGAATTATATATAGATAGATCAGGTGATAGACAGATAGGGGATAGATAGATGATAGATAGATTGGTAGAGAGGTAGGTAGGTAGATAGATAGATACAGTTATCAAAGTTGTAGAAAATAAGAAAAGGTTAACAGATAAAGCCAATAGAGACTGAAACACATTTCTATTACCCTTTTTCAATTCACAATTTAATTTTTTAATTTTATTTCAAGGAACATTTGACAACCTAGTTCGTGTCATCTTTATTTTAATGCTGGCACACATTCTTCTTTTAGTTCCATTCTTCCTTTCCCTTTCTTTCTCGTAGGTTTTGATCTGGTAAAATGTGAAGACCCAGGGGTCCCTAACTATGGGTATAAGATCCGAGATGAAGGCCACTTCACTGACACAGTGGTTCTGTACAGTTGCAACCCAGGCTACGCCATGCACGGCAGCAGCACTTTGACCTGCCTGAGCGGAGACCGGCGGGTATGGGATAAGTCATTGCCATCTTGCGTAGGTGAGTTAAAGAGCCAGTTTAGATTACTGTATAGAAGAGCTAACTATTGCTTAGACAAACCTTTTGGAAGAAAATGCCATCATTTTAGTGTAATCTTTCCAATTTACATGTCTATGTATATAGAAGATTGATGAGATTTTCATTCAGGTGTGAAAGACAGATTTCCTCATACTATTTTATTGAGACCAAATACACAGCAGTATTATAATTATCACATGAGTGCTTCATCCTTTCACCTTAAATACACTGAGGATAAAGCCTTGTTATCAGAATAATGGTTGGGAAGAAGGAAAGATGGGAAATGAAGAGGATGATTAATAAAATATTTCCCTAGGTAGAGGATATAAGAGACTAACTAGTACTTTGGTTTTTAAAAGTCACGAGGCACTGTAACACCTGGAGTAGACTTTCTCATGTTTCCAAATATTTTACAGCGGAATGTGGCGGCCGGATCCACGTCGCCACTTCAGGGCGCATATTGTCTCCTGGTTACCCAGCTCCCTACGACAACAATCTCCACTGCACTTGGATTGTAGAGGCAGACCCAGGAAAGACCATCAGGTACTTGTTCTGTCTTTCCTTCAGTCCTTTTGTTATTCAGTAGAGCCACATTGTACATCTATCACCAGGGGAAATGAATAAGGAATTAAAGATGCACTTGAGTTTTTCATTGGCTCACTTTCTCACGTTGATATTCCTTTGAAAACGTGTCGAGCTATATAATATTCAAATAAGTTAGCTTTGGCTGTGTAGCAAACTAACTCAAAGCATGTTGATGTTGACAATATGCTTCTGACATCTGCTCTGGAGCAGATTGTCAGAGGTGTCTAGGCCTCAGGTGACCAGGATGGATCTTTCCGAACAAGATTTCTATGCTGGTTCATGCATAGTCACCTAGGGGAAGGACTCTTAGTATCAAAAGGATGGAAACTTTCAAACTTCCTTTTGCATTTGCAAAAGGCCATTTGCGAAAGCTAATTTCGTGGTTGAAACAGGTATGAGGTATAAAGACATAGTCTTCGTTCCTCCATGGGGAGGGTTGTGAAATCATACTCTAAAATCACTTGTTTATAGTGATGCACAGAATTTGTGGTCATTTTGCAAACTAAATATATGTCAGAAAAGGAAAAAAATACTACCATATAAAGTTGCTATTGTTGTTAGTTGCTGTCCAGCTGGGTCCCATCACTAGGGACTTTCTGTTCAGTAGCATGGAACACTTCTTGGCCCAGGGCCATCCTCACACCGCTCCTAAGCCTGAGCCCGTTGTTCCAGCCACCGTGTCAATCCACCTTGTGGAGGGCCTTCCTCTCTTTCACCACAGTCTTGCTACGCAATCTGCCTTGACTTCTTTCACAACAGATTTGCTTGTTCTTTTGCCAGTCTTTTACCACAATTCAAACACATCAATTCTTTTTTGTTTTTCCTTATTCAAAGTCCAACTTTCACACGCATACGAGGCAATTGAACATACCATGAGTTGGGCCAGGCATACCGTAATCCTCAAAGTCACGTCTTTCCTTCTCAGCTCTCTAACGAGGTTTCTGCGGCATGCTCATCCAATCTATCCTTGGATCTCTTGCATGCTGTTTCCGTGAGCATCGGTTGTGAAGCCAAGCAATACGGCATTTGACAATGTCTTTCCTCCATTTATCATGATGTTACCTATGGGTCCAATTGTGAGGACAGCACTCTTGTTTACATTTAGCTGTAATTCATACTGAAGGCTATAATGCTTAATGTTTATCAGCAAGTGCTTTAAGTCATCCTCAATTTAAAGAAGCAAAATCGTATTGTTTGTGTACTGCAGGTTGTTAATAAGCCTTCCTCTAATTCTGATGTCACCTTTATACAATACAGCTTCTCTGCTTATTTTCTCTGCATACAAATTGAATAAGCACAGTGAAAGAATATAACCCTATTGCCTCTTGATCCAGCAAGAGTACAATAAAGTGTTCTGGGATTCCCATTCTTCTGCAGGCTAGTCATAGTCTGTTATGGTCCATATAGTCGAATGTGTTTGCAAAGTCATAAAACACGAGTAAACATCTTTCTGGTATTCTCTGCTTTCAGCCAAGATCTGTCTGATGGCAGCAATGATATTTTTTGCTCCACATCCTCTTCTGAATGCTGCCTGAACTTCTGGCACATCCTTGTCACTGTATTGCTGCAAGCATTTTTTGAATGATCTTCAGCAGAATTTTATTTGCATGTGAAATTAATGATATTATTTTATAACTCGTGTATCTTGTTGGGTAACCTTCCTCTGGAATGGGTACATATACGGATCTCTTCCAGTGGGCCAAGGAGATGTCTTCCAGATTTCTTGGCAAGTGAGTGCTTCCAGTGCGTCATCAGGTTGGTGAACCATTTCATTTGGCACTCTATCAGTTCCTGGAGTCGTAGTTTTCCTAATGCCTTCAGTGCAGCTTGGGCTACATTCCTGAATCTCCTTGGGTCTTAATCAGATGACAACTCTTGAAATGATTGATTGAATGGTTCTTTTGGGGACAGCGATTCTCTGTGTTCTTGCCATCTTCTTTTGATGCCTCCCGTACCATTCAATATTTTGCCCATAGAATTTTTCACTATTGCAACTGACGGGTGGGAGTTTTGTTCAGTTAGTTCAGCTTAAAATATGCTGATACTGAGTGTGCACGCCCTTTTGGTGTCCTCACTCCAGGTTTTTGTACAGTTTATTATAATATTTTTCTTTGTCTTCTTGAACTGCCCCTTGGAAATTTCTGTTCAGCTCTTTGACTTCATCCTTTCTTCCAGTTCCTTAGCTGTTCTCTGAGTAAGTGCAAGCTTCAGAGTCTCTTCTGACATCTACTCTGAGCTTTTCTTTCTGTCCTAGTCTTTTAAATTAGTTTTTGATTTCATCATTTTCGATGTTCTGGATGTCATCGAGTCTTCTGTCCTTAGTGTGCAGTGCATTAAATTTATTCTTGAGATGTTCTAAAATGCAGGTGAGATTGACTCAAGGTCATTTTTCAGTTCTCATACACTTGTTTCAATTTTCTTCAGCCTCAACCTGAACTTTCATATAAGTAATTGAATGTTCCAGAGTCAGCCCCTGGCCTGGTTTTACATGCTGATATTGAGCTTATCTATCACCTCTTCCCACAGATATAATCAATTTGATTTCAGTGATTCCATCTGAAGGAGTCCATGTGAATAGTTGCCTTTTGTGTGGTTGATAAAAGGTTTTTGCAACGAAGAACTTGATCTTGCAAAATCCTATCATGACTTATCTATCACCAAGGCCATATTTTCCAACCACTGTTCCTTTTTGTTTCTAATTATTGCACTCCAACTGATAATTATTAATTCACTTCGATTGCACATTTGGTCAATTTCTAACTAAAGGCATTAGTAAACATGTGCAATTTCTTCATTAATAAGTTTAGTGCTTGGCACATAAATTTAAAAAGATAATATATTGCTGGATTTCCTTGAGTGCAGATATTTATAGTCCTATAATAGGCAGCATTATTCTGAAAAATAGATCTTATAAGTCCTTCATATGATGAATTTGATATCATTTCTCATAAATCTGTCATTCCAAGTATGGGACACCATATTTTTTCTGATTCAAAATGGCCAGTACCAGTGCAGTCAGCTGAGAATTGACTAAAATATCAATTTTTATTTATTTCATTTTTGATGATTCCATCTTCCCTAGATTCATTCTTCCTACATCCCAAAGTCCAATCCTGAATAGTTGTTTGCCCCTGTTTCATCTCATCTTAAGTCCTATTGCATCAGCATATGAAAATCCCCCAAACTTCACTCTTGCAGGCTTTATGCCATCTGCATCTTCTCTATTTTGAGAAGGCAGCTTTTCCTCTGTCATATCTTGACCCGAGGGGCTCATATTCTGACACTATATCTGACAATGCTCTCCTGATGTTCATGATGTTTTCAGTATCTGACAACGTTTTGATGCTACCCATAGGTTTTCAGTGGCTAATTTCTGAGGTGGACAGCTGATTCCTTCTTGAGAGACTCTTCTTAGTGTGGACCTGCAGAAACCTGCTCACTGTGTGTTACCTTTCTAGTATTTGAAAATACCTGTCTAAATAGCTTCCAACATCACAACTGCACAAAAGCCACCACAGTAAAATAAACCGACGGGCAAGTTACAGAAGTAAAGTAAAATAACTAAAATTACACAAAATTCTGCCAATATTAAAAAAAATTATCTTATTTTAAGTGATAGCTTTAAATTAGCCTGGTAAGTTGCTTAACTTATTTAAGACATTTAGTTAACAGGCCAGTTGTGATAGGTCAGTTGACTAGAGAAACAAATTGAGTGACATGGAATAATTAATTATATCAAGAAGTAATTATGTATCAAGCAAACATACCAGCCCAGTCCAGATCAAGTCTATAAGTCTGGTACTGGACCATGAATCCCTCTTCAGACTCATGCAGCTACATACAATGATGGCAAATGCAGGAAGATCATGGGCCAGTGGGTGCAGAGTGGTGGGAATTCAGTGGTGGCGGCTGCATCACAGGGTTCACAGCTTGTCTTGCCAACAAGAAGGCCAAGGCAGAGAGAGAGAGGCCGGCTTCCAGAAAGCCATTTACCTTGCTTGCACTTCCAAAGGAGGTCATCAAGCTGCAAACTGACTGACAGGCTAACCCACACCCCTATCTTCTTACAGGTGCTAAGTTGGCATAAAAACAAAATCTAACTAGCACCAATGAAGTAATCTTTTTAAAGAGTTCTCCATGTCTGAGTATTAAAGTTACATCAAAGTATCACAGTGTGATAGTTTGGTTTATTGTGCCAAGTAGGCCAATAGGAACATGTGGGCAGGGATTAGTCAGGTTGCAGCTTGATTGGAGGATGACCAAAATAAATAACGACAGCCGGCATCCCATCTCCCTCTTGCTCTCTGATGACCGGACCAGCATGCTGCTGCTTTAGCTCATTCTCTGCCTCAAACTGTGTGCTACACTTCTTCTTCTTTTTTTTTTTTTAAACATTTTATTAGGGGCTCATACAACTGTTATCGCAATCCATACACACATCAATTGTGTAAAGCACATTTGTACTTCATTCTCCAAACATTTTCTCTCCACTTAAACCCCCAACATTAGGTCCTCATTTTTCCACTCCCTCCCCGCTCCCCCCTCCCTCATGAGCCCTTGATAGTTTATAAATTGGTGTGTGTGTGCTACACTTCTTATGGGCCATGCCAACCTGTGGATCCTGTTGCTAGAGCTTGAGGCTTCTGCAAGGCCTGCTTTGCCATGCTGCTGGTGTGTTTAGCTTAAGCTTGGGGCTGGTAGATCCCGTCAATGTGCTTGAATTTGAGATCCCATCAGGGCCTGCTTTGCTAAACTCCCAAGGAACTGACTGTTGTTGAGTCACCCTGCTCTCTGCTGTCTTCCGGCACACTCTGCCTAACGTGCCTGATGGAAGACTCTGCTGTCTGCTTCCTTGACATTCAACTTGGCAGCCCATGTGAGTTGAAGGACTTCCAATATATTAACTGCTCCACAAAAGTGAGTTGAACTGAGCCTTCTGTACTGCTGTGTATATTAAT